CTGTGGAGCACCAGTCCCCATCTCCAATGCTTATTTAATTTGAAGGTAGATGTTTTTTCCAAAAAATCTGCACGTTTCAAATATCTTCAAGTGAAAAACAACACCATGAGACTAACTTTTTCCGTATTTAATGTAAACACCTGTCACAGAAGCACTTAAATTTTCTGCTATCCTTACCCAGCGGTTGTTGTGGCACCCTGATTACTTCAAAAAGAAGCTGTTATTAAATAGCATTAGAGCCTCATACGATGCTGTACTGAGCTTTATACGATGTTTTCCTCCTCTGAAGAATTTAAATGTGCTATATTCACGCACGTATTCTATGTAACAATTATAGAAAGAGAAAGATCGCGAGACTAACATGTATCTTTATACCATGCTATCTAATAAAATTTAGTTTAAATGTCATGAATCATGACTACCATGGATTATATCGTGTTATTGAGAACATTTTATGTAATAAAATGCATATGAGCGCAAGAACTTCAATAATCTATAGTTTAGTTTCAGCAAAAGATTAAATGATAAAATTTTACTTTATTACGGCAAGTGTGCAACAAAAATGCGATGACGCAAGGCGCACCTTCTCTTCCGTCATTTGTTATGTGAATATCACAATTTCACGTTACATTCACGTCGACAATGAAGGTAACAATTGAACGGTAAGAAGATTATACGATGACATGGTCGTTAATCCAGCCAAGATCGGCCACTTTCTCCTTTCCCGTTTTCTCAAATCATCTTGACGTCAATAATTGATTGATGCGTCAAAATGGAAAGAAAATGACCGTCTCATTATATTTTGTTGATTAATTGGAATGCACTTACACTCGACACTTTATTGAATGAACACATGGATAAGATAAGTATACATTTTCTTTCGTTTGCTGCGGTCTGAGAAACGTTCCGGTCTCATATGCAATCGATATCATAAAACAAAAATGTAATGGAATTCATCAATCATATGTAAATAAAGAATCTAGAAGAAGTATAAAAAGCGTTAAAGCCTTAATATTATCTTAATAGGCTTAATTTAATGACACTGTTTTAGCAACACGAAAATTTTCTTTAATACACCTAAGTTGATCCATGGGACACAGCGTCGTTGTCACCACGCGTCACCCCGCACAGGAACTGAGTCCCGACACGAGGCTGAGGACATCGCTGCTCATGCGGGTAGCGGGGATCAATTAAAATATAAATTTAGCTATTTGGCGGCCTAACTTTAGCAAGCCCGCCGCATACGGCGGGGGAGGGAGGAAAAAGTCCATAAAATCGGAAAAAAATGAATGGGTCATATTGTACTAATCGTGAGACATGATCTGCACGTTGCAATAAAAAATGCATCATTTTTTAATCAAGTTCCCTTATTTCTGATGCTCTAGCCATAACATAACATAGTGATGTCGGCGCTAAAGAGTACCTAGGCCTGATAAGGCCTGTCGCCGAATCTTAAACTTGTCGTGACTTGTTCATAGAAGATCTAAAATCATGTCAATTGACCGATTATTTTCAAGACTGACGATAGTTTGAAATAGCTACTATAGACTTCCACCGGGTTCGATATGGTGCTAGGCATTTCAAGTCTGAACATATATTTTTCCATAGCTTTATCTAGTCTGTTCTTGAACGCGTTCATACTTGGAGCGCCAAGGGCGTAATAGGCGCTCCAAGTATAGGCGTAATGAATAAATAGGCGTAATAAATAGGCGTAGTATAATATAATAGTATATATAGGCGTAATAGGCGCTCCAACGACGTAAAACTGCAAAATGATCTTGATAGTTTAGTTGACTGGGCTGATGCGTGGCAACTGCGTTTCAATACAGACAAGTGTAAAGTACTTCACCTCGGCAAGAGCGATGAACAGCAAGCTTACAGCATGAGAAGACACGGTTGCAACGAGAGGGTTATGATTGAGAAGTCTTGCTTTGAAAAAGATCCTGGAGTTTGTGTCGACAAGGAGCTAAAATTTTATAGGCATATTGAAACGCAAGTTAATACATCCAATAAACTGCTTGGGCTGATCAGACGTTCCTACGAGTAGCTAGATATAGAAATGATGAAGCTGTTGTTCACCTCTGTCGTGCGCCCGAACCTAGTGTTTGGAAACGTTGTGTGGTCACCGAGACTTGAAAAGGACAAAAATTTAGTTGAGAGTCTTCAAAGACGTGCAACAAGGATAATCCCAGGATTAAAGGGCAAGTCTTATTCAGGGGCCACAGCTGTAAACTAAAAAAACTGCGGTTCAACTTATCCACGCGACAACATTTCTTCTCGCTTCGAGTCACTGACATGTGGAACAGCCTCCCTGAAGATATTGTTGACGCTCCGAGTATGAACGCGTTCAAGAACAGACTAGACAAGGCCAAGCATGAGCATATGTTTAGTCTTAAAATGCCTCGTACCCTACGGAACAAATGATATCTAGAAGCGACTTTTAATCTACCGTCCGTTAAAAATATCTGATCAAAAGGCCAGTCTAGCCAAGAAAAGTACAAGAATCTGTGACAGGCCTATCCAGGCCTATTCTTTAATGCCGAAGATACTATACTATATTAATAGGGGGGGCTGTTCCGCATGTCGGTGATTCGAAGCGAGAAGAAATGTTGTCGCGTGGACAAGTTGCAAACAGATGTTCTTCATGATAATTTCGTTGGGCATTTGCAGTGAAGCGCTTATTATTTTAAAATATTAAAAACCCATTTAAATACTCCAAAACCCACTTAAATATTCCAAGTAGACTCCTATAGCGTGTACTACATCAGAAATACAGAACGCAAATATATGGTAGGAATGCTAAGAATATTCGCAAAACACACATAATGAGTTATGTATAGACGCAAATACGTGATGCATATCTATTAAACTCTCCTACCATGACAGGATAAAAATATTGTCGATAAACCACAAATCAAGCAGGATAAAACTGAATAATAATAGGAAATACAGATAAGTTTGTCACGGAGCTTACCAGCAAAAATAGAAATTGCGTAATGATCAGAGAGCTGCAGCACAAAAACCTTGTTCATGCTTAAGAATCTAATGATAATTTAAACAATATAAGGGCAACATTACCAATTTATAGGTAACACTAACAATCTAAGTGAATAATCTAAGGGCAAAATAAGCAATCCAATTGCAGATGAGCGAAGATTGTATTCATGCTAAATGAAATTAAATTTAAATCACATATTCAAACTCAATGCTAGTGAACTTCTATATAAAAGACTATGATAAATGCAATTTAAAACGAGAGGATAGCGCGAGCAAAAAGGTGCGAAGAAATAGTCTACCTATAAGAATTATGTAAACGTGAATTTGCACAAATGATTAACCATCTTGTTGACAAAACGAGGATGGTTACCACCATTTACTCCTTCACTTAGCATAGCATAGTAATGTCGGTGATGAAGGATGTGGCCTGTCGCCGATTCTTGCACTTTTCGTGACTTGGCCACAAGAGATCTAAAAACACGTCCTTTGACCGGATCCTTTCCAAACTGACGATAGTTTGAAATAGCTACTAGACTTCCATTGGGTTCGATATGGTGCTAGGCATTCCAAGTCTGAACATATATTTCTCCATAGCTTTCTCTAGTCTGTTCTTGAACGAATTTATACGTGTGCCTATAATATCCGTATTATGAATAACGTAACGTAAAGGATAACGAAATATCCTTTACGTGTGCCCAGAACTTCATTTTATGGTGACAAAAAGTGCATGTCGAGCCAAGAAACCCTCCGAACGTACATATTACTATTTTATTTAATGATTGAACATCTAGATGCTAAGGAATTGAGATAAAAAGAATTAATAACATTAGAAACAACGACAACAGGAATTGTATCATATCATCAGCCGCGTCGTTGAAGGAAATAATAGAAGCGTCAAAGATATGAAAGTGCTCTTCAGTTGAAATTATGAAGGTTTGCACGCATGTATATGTTAAATAGTCATGATAAGAGGTCAAATGTTACGACAATGTATTATCGGAAGAATTATTTAATGATTTACAAGAAGCTTTGCGCTGAAAAAAGCGATAGAATGTATAAAAAAGAGTGATCTTGAAGGGGGATTTTCTCATATCAACAATGCAGTATTTCGAAGAGTATCAACCGAAAATAATTCTGTCATGGAATATTGTGATCTCACGAAGATAAATAAGCGTGAGTGGGAGCGAATAAGCTTGTTTCATTGTGTGGTACGAGGGCAAGGGTGTGATTGTCGGGCATAGAGCAGCGGTGCCATTGTTCAGGGCATTGTGGGGCCGTGACTGTCAACTTGCGGAGAGGCTTTAATAGGCCGGACAGATGAGAGCGTCCGCTGTACTGCACCGATCGGGCTGGTCCGTGCAGCGAAACTTCGATCATGAGAAGTTAACTATTTTGCTATTACTATTTATTAAATTATATATATTATAATTTTTATTTAATTTAATTCATATACTTCTTCATAGAATTGTTAAGATATACATGTTATATATCAATACTTTTTTTACAAAATTGTTAATAAATACATGTTACACATCAGCGTAGCCAAGATAATGAATCAGAGAGCAGGATTAAATGCAAGGAGAATCCCGACCGATAACCATTTAAATTTACAGTTATTTTTTTATTGCAAACTACTAGCGATACGATAATGCTAACTTAACATATCTTGATTACCGACTATCACACATTCCTACTGGATATATTTGTTCACAGTAAACATTTCTAAAATAAGACTGTATACTGACTTTTATTTGACATGTAAATGGTAATTTCGGCAAACATTAATTAGGTAGAAAATTCATGCATTTAGTAATCAGCGTGAATATTTTTCAACAATTATGGACACTGACACAGTTTCACGTATTAGTTAGTGGCTCAATTCTGATGAAAGTTGTATAAAAATGAACCCATGGCTCTTATATGTTATCTTGAATTGTAATTTTGGATGAGGAAATTGGTTTATCTTTAAAATTGTGTTCTTCAATCGATTTTCTAAAATTATATCATCGAGGCAAAGTTACGATTTATTGAGTGCTGAAAATAATTGTAACATTTTACTAAAAGAATTAGCAGTAATGTTATAGGAATTTGTCATTGAAGAAAACCTTTTTCTAAAATCTCAGTAATTTTTTTCTAGATAAACATCAGTGAATATGAGTGCATTAAAAGAGAAGTTACTGGACATGCGTCTTCAACAGGTAAGACTGAAGTTTTTATCTTTATAAATAAATAAGATCTCTATAAATAAAGTACTAGGTAAATTTTTTCATGTGTGCATGGAATAAATGGATTTATAAATTGGTAATTGTTCAAAAATGTATACGAAATTACCAAAATTTCTCCAGAAATAATCTGTATAATTTTACAAAATAATAGTCAAACTCTCAAGTGTGACAAGGTTAAATAGATCTTTGCTACATTTGCTTAGGCTAACCCAGGAATTATGTTCGAACAACTATAGTTTTTAATTTAACCGCGTAACCTGGGTTATTTCTTTTGAGATATATGAGTTTTATATATTAGTAAACATATTAGTAACATATTAGATATTAGTAAACATTCTCGACAGAAATCTTAGTTGCAGCACAATTTTAGTCTTTTTAACCTAGTAATTTGTTGTTAATTGCTAATGATGTTCTATCTGATGATCAGAGGCCAGTTACATCAGCCCTGTTGATGTTGGTAGTTCTGCTGCTACTGCTTGCCATCAGCTGTCTTTTTCTGCGCTTTGAAGAACAAGAAATAGAAGATCGAATCCTTTTCTCTGATGACAAGATTCAACATCTAGCCGAAGACCAGCAAAATAATAGAGAAAAAGAAGGTTCAGTGGTGGTGAAAGAAGCTCCCGAAACACGTGTTTCAGATGGTGGAAGTACTGAAAAATTAAGTGGCCAACGAAAAGAAGAAATTAAATATCTGGGCGGTCGAGAGGCTGTTGTTTCTGGGACCAACGTTTTAGATAGAGGTATTTTTAACACACGAGCTGACATTTCGAATGATCACAGGAACCCTTTACTGACAAGCGATCAAGGGTTTCCCTTGGGTGATACTTTTTTCGGGAACGAAACTACTGACAACAATCCGTTGTTCATCCAACACGACCCGCTCCCTCCTTCACAAGACGATCGAACCGAAAGTAACGAACCTGAGGACACAGGTAATCCAGGTTTAATTCTTTATTTAGAAGAGCCTGGGATGCATGTGAAGATTCCCGACAGCGCGTGGACGTCGTCGGGCGTGCAGTTGTCCGACATCGAAATTATGGAAAGTGGAGCCGAAGTAGTAAGTCCCGTGCTGCGGTTGTCGGTGCTGGATCCCATCCTGAGCCAGATTAAAGTGCTGGACGGCCGGGAGAGGAAAGGCAGAACAACGAACCTGGCCAGTTTGCACTCAAGCACTCGAATAAGGTGAGAAATGAGTATCATTGCCTATCATACTTTGTCGTTATTTTATGACTCAAATTTTGAAGGAAAGGAATTTGTCAACGACCGAAATGTTGCACACAACTTCTCAAGACGTTTAGCCAAAAACTGTGCTTTGAATCATTTTAAAAAGGAAGTTTCGAGGTTCCCAAAAGTTCATTAAATGCCTGCTTGTTATTTTTTAAATTTGTTAGTGTTTTAATCAAATTGAGCATCAAATGATTAAATGCGACCAAGGACCTAATTTATCTCATATTTATTCATAAGTGTTCCTTTCAACAGGCTGAATGCTGATGACTACCGAAAACTGTTGCATCAACAAGGTTCTGAAAAGTACGAGTCGGGATACCAGGATAAGGATGACCTCGTACAAACTGTTACAGACGACGACAGCTTATTAGTGGCTTGGGCACCCGAAAATGATTCCTTGCATGACTCTAACCAAAACGACCGTGTCCACTCGCTGTCTCATAAAACTGCTGCAGTTACTGAGTCCTATCTTGAAGTCAAACAATTGGATGAAGCTGAAGAAAAAAGCCGCAAGGGAGTTGGGGGAACCGCCGCATCAACCACCGAAAACTCGGAAATTTATCATCGTAAAGCTGCAAATGATTTGAGCAGTGAAGTCCGTATTGTCAAATCTGAGTCAGATTCATCAGGAAATACTTCTCACCCAGAAGGGTTTTCTACAAAGGCAGTTGTGCGTAGAGGTTTACTTCTACCCGAAGTCAAATCTCGTCGAAAAAGGGCTCTCACTTTTTTCAGAATTTCGGGCGGTGGCGCGAGGCATTTGAGGGACGTACCCTTGGGTCCACTTCCCCCTCCCAGCGACTACACGCCTTCGTATGGCATTCGAAACTCTACAGTAAATCCGGAGATGAAACGTCAAAGACTCAATCAAATCCTCTCTGGAGTGAACGAAGAAGCTTTGCCTAAAATTCAACCACTTCTACTTCCATCATCAAATACAAGCATGTTTCTTCCAGATATGTTAAATCTGACTCTCCCAACTCTACCTCCATTGATAGATCCCAAAGAGTTAGCAGACTTTTTCACCATCCCTCCTATAGAAGAATGGTTTAAAATACCAAACAAGACCTCAACAATTAATTGGACACTGCCTGATCCCGATCCTCTGAAATTATTTGCGCATTTTACTTCTACAAGTGCCCCAGTATTAGAGCTAGCAGATTCAAGCCCCAGTGATTTAGGTACTACAGAAAAAACTATAGATCCCTCGCGACTATTTTCTCTGATGAGAGGTGAAATTTCAGCCACTGATGGTGGATTACTTTCCGCTTTTCAAAATGTCATGAAAAATGGAGACATCGCGGCATTGCAATCAGCAATGGAACTGAATACGAATCAATCAGCAGCTTCGAACTCATCTGCAGTCGATATTTTTGAAGCACTCAGACTGAAATTCAGTCCCCAGTCTGAAGAGGAAACTACTTCCTCCGACGGCTTGGAGTTTTTCAGGAACATCACGAATTTTTTCAATAATAAAAATGTGTCTAACTTTCAGGATACTTCAATACAAAACGTTAGTGATTCACAAACCGTATCCAACATGGAATCAGTAATCGGAATCAAATTAGGAGGTTTGCTTGCGAACAAAAACTCTTCTGATGCAATGATGAATACGTTGAAAAGTGTATTCCCACAATTGAGTGAAATGCCAAACGCCACAACTCTCTCGTTGCTGCCTGGTTTGAGCACGATTGCTGCAGCCATGAAATCCGCGACTAATTCGTCCTCTTACGATGAGAAGGGTAACACAACCGAGCAGTCCTCGGCGCTTCCAGTTGAACTAAGTTTCGAACACTTCCTCGCTAAATTTACTCCGGCCCCAGAAACGTCATCACCCTCATCGTCCGCTGCAACCGTAACACCTGCTTCACAATTCGATTCCGGTTTGCAATCTTCTACCGTAAAGTCAGTCACAAATTCAGACTTTTCAAATTTATTTTCTGGAAACGGCCAGACAGCGTCTCCTCCAATTGACTTCCTGTCATTCTTTCGGGGTCAACCAAATTCAGTCTCAATGTCCGCTCAAATAGATAAAAACACGATGGCATCAGTGAATCAGATGGTAAAAAATGCACTTGGTGCAGGTTCCGAAACTATGAGTCCATCCATTGCAGGACTGCTATCCAATACTAATACAAGAACCATGAAAAACATGTTAGACGCCATCATGAAAACTACGGGAGTACAGTATGAAAATAATAAACCAATAAACAATCAGCTTCAAGGGTTTTTAGATGGTTTTTCGACTCCATCGCTGTCAGTAGAACCTAACTTGGTGGTCACCAAGCCTCTACCAACAAACCCCTTAGACTTTTCGAACCTGTTCGGTATCAATGCAAACAAACCATCTTTAAATGAAGCATCAGGTGCGAATCCTGCTCTACCCTCCAGAGGATATTTACCACCGCTAATAGGAATGCAATCTTCAGTCCAGATGCAGAATGGCTATCAGGACATGAGTGCTCTGCTGTCCAATGCTTTCAGAAAAAGTTTATTGATCTCTCCGGCATTGCATTCGCTGGCCCCAGGTAATCGTCAGAATATATTTGGACTTCCGTCATTGCAACTGGATTCAAACGCCAAATCACTGACGAATTCTGACAACCTAGGTCGAATGGACACACGTGCGCAATCAAATGCAGACGGAAGCAATAAATCACTAAAAAATGATCACGATGATATTCCACAGGATGATTCAGCCAGTGATATGTTGTCTAACCTTGACGGGAACATTAATGGACTTCGTCGTATGATGTTTCTCCCATTCAGCTCTCATCATCATGGATCAGAGCGTAATAGACGAAGTGACTCGGTGAATTTGTTTGGCTCGGTTAATTCTAACACATTTCATCATAATAGACCTGGTCACCCAATGAAAGGACCGTCAGTTGAGGAAGTAAGGCCACTGCTATCTTTCTCAGCTAACGACAAAGAAGCCAGTCATCTATTACGACTCAGTAATGAAAGAGGGAATAATGGACACCATTTCATTGAAAAATCACCTCAAACAGAGGCGGGAATTCAACGCCCTGCTAATCTATTTCAGCATGGCAGAAATACACAAACTTATTTGAACAACTTGAATAATATCTCTCCATCAAAGTTCAATGATTTGATGTCAGCTGGAATGTCTCAAGAAGTTCTGCAAAACATGTTGCGAGTTATGAGATTGGCACAGTTACAAAGGCCGACAAGAACTGAATTTGCGTCGCATAATGTACCAATTTATCCTGCAGTGCGCTACTCTCGTACTAAAGACCAAAATGACGGGACTCCATTGAACATTAGGGTTGGACGCACTCTCTTCGGTAATGATGCAACAACCTCCACCACTCCGGATCCGACGTTACCCCAGAATGTATCGCTTTGGCCTTTCCCAACGTATTCAAAAACTTCTACAACCCCAATTCCAACAACCTCAACTTCAACTCCTGCACCATTCACTTTTCCAACCCTTCCACCATTTACTTTTCCAACCCTCCCATCATTGCCCACATTGCCACCAATTACTACTCTACCTCCACCAGCTGCCTCCAATACCACGGAGGATGGTTTTTCGGCATTCCTTGGAGAACAAGCAACAAAGATGAGTAGTTTTTTTGAGCGTATGTCCAACTTTAGCGTGGATGCGGTGACCGTATTACGGGACACAGGTACGGTGGTTACGGCGTTAGGGTCAGCTGCGTCTCGAACGATCAACGCGTTTGTTGACGTCGCTCAGTTGCTAGAACCAGTCACCAACCTCATCGCTCGTAAGATTCAGGAGTCGGAGAATGAGGGCAAAACTACGACCACCACTGAACAACCGAGAAGCTATAACGCATATCAAAGACCGCGTCCTCTACCCGATAATTCAGTCTATTTTCAGTAATTTTTGTTTGATATGGATAGGGTGCGTAATTCTATTCACACAAACAAATTCATTTGACAAATTCATTTCAGCTGCTGAATTGTTAAAAATAATTTACATCGGCGAAATAAAATGTTGCGTTTAACTTTTCCTTTAATATAGGAACGATTCTCTGTCAGTTTTTTTTTTATAATATACTTTGACACTATGTACACTTGATTATGATTTGAATAAACGAAGCCATGAGCAGAAATACTCATTTTATGGATTATTTCGAAAAATTTCCCTCTCTCGTGAAATGTCTCAGAGGAAGCTTGAACTTGATAGCAAATTATTCATTTGCCAAAAGATTACCATTAAACTGGATGCTGATAATACAACTTTACTTCATAAAACCGTTTATGAGCCATGTGATCACTTGATCAGTGGAAAATGTTTATTAAAAGTATGAAGATTTGTTAGCTAATGCCAAGTTGTTCTGGCGAGGCAATGTATTTTCAAAATGCGAGCATTGGAAAAGAACAGTAATGGTAATTAATTACTGGCAACATTAACAAGGTTTAAGGTAAGACAAATAAAATTCATTGATAAATCCTTGGTCCCTAGTGACTTTTTTTCTCATCAAATAAGGATGAAATAGCGTATGTTTATTACAAATTAATCAAATAAGTAGCTACTCTCTCTAAACGTTGACCTAGTTTCCCCAAGATATCTTGTACATCCACTTGATACTTGGATTTTATTTAAATTAATAGGAACGGTATCGTGTTTTAGTTATTAATATTCAAAATAAAATGTATTCGTGGTGACGACAAACATGAAAATTTCTTCCTTTTTGTAACATATTAGAATCACAAGCAGAAAAACAAAACTGTCGAGTGACTAGTGTCATCCTAGGGGCAAGAGTACAGGCATGACGAGCCTCGTGTGTTGATGGTTCTATTTAAATTATGGTAAAAAATATTCTATTCAGGCTATTCAAGATATTATATCGAAATAAAAAAAGAATATGTGGCAAAAATTAAAATGTATTATTATATAAACGCCGCGAAGTGGCGAAGAGTGTGTGACAAGTTGCAATTCAAAATAAATCAGTCCTCTATGGAAGTCCATGTTCTGTTCGAATATTCAGATTTCATGGGTTACTGAATATTTTTAAATCGCCTGGAAATATTGTTAGTTGTGTGATTGTTGGTGGGAATGCGTCATCAATATTATAGGCTGATAATTTTACAAGACTTAAAAAATGTGGTTTAAGACTTTAAAGACTTTAAAATGTGGTTTATCTATTTCGGGGATATTTAGTTGCGTTATGCAACGTAATGGCGCATTTTATCAACTTTATGAAAAATAAAATTAAAGTCTTAGAAATTGTTGCTGTACGTGAGTGATCAACATATGTTTATGAACTGAATCAGAGTTCTCCGCTCTAGATTAGCCTGTGGATTAAAATAGCATTCCGTTATATATTATTCATACTAATTTTAAAAATTGATGTTCATGATGATGTACAACCCCAAGACCCAATAGGAAACTTCTCAAGTGGATTATTTCGAAATCGTGAATGTGTATGTGAAGCTAGGAATGTACAGAAGAAAAATGTAATTAGAATCTGATTACATTTCTTATTATCCAAACACTATTTTTTATTATCCAAGCACTATTATCATATGAATCAATATTTGAATAATTTTAGAGAAAAACTGGCAAATTCGAAATTACAACTAAGACTTAGCATTCGTTAGCATTCATTCGTTAGCATTCGTCTTGGGGAAATCTCAATCACATGGCCTTTTTATTCCCATTTTTTTGCTAAAATTGAGCAAGATTGAAGAAAAAGCATCAAAAACAACCTTGAGACGAATTAGGGTAACAAAAAGCAAATCAAACTTATCGTGCTAGTAGAACGTAACACACCAGAATAGAACAGAAGTGTCGGCACTGAAGAAATAGGCAAATGGCCTGTTGCCGATTCCTGTATGTAGTTTTCGTGACTTGATTCCACATGGGATCCGGCCTTTTGAACCCGATCTTTCCCTAACTGACTATTGCTTGAGATAGCTGCTGGACTTATTGCCAGGTCCGTAAGGTGCTAGGTATTTCAAGACTGAATATATGCTCCTACATAGCTTCGTCTAGTCTGTTTTTGAAGGCGTTCATACTCAGGATCTTGTATAAACCGTGGTTATACTTAGTTATATACTTCAATGAGGTCACGCAGGCGTCGATAACAGAGGTTGGAAGCTTCATAATCTTTAATCTCACTTCATAAGGCTTACCTTCTAATCCCGGAATTATCCTTGTTGCATGACTTTGAACACTCGACTAATTTTTTTTTAATGATTCAACTAAAATCAGGAAATTCAAAGCAATGGATTTCTTTTTCGAAGTATATTGATTGTATCATTTGTATGTTATTGTTACTGTGACTAATCAGCATTTCCTACGATTCTAACTACCTCTGTAAATTTTTTCGTATCCCAGTACATTAGGTGCTTACTCCAATTGGACTTGGACTAGGAAAAGTTCTGCAAGTGAGCGGTAACCGGTGCAGCAAATTGCGACTTGCGAATAACTGTCTTGCGTTTTCAAGTTCAGTAACGTGGTAGTGGTGGTTGGAGTTGGGTGTGTACTATCGATGCTCCGCGTTTTGTCCTGTAGCAGTGTGTTCCTAAGGTCTCATGGCGCAGGCAAATTTAAAGTGGGTTTCTAAGTTTCTCATATTTGTGAAAGTAGAAATCCTGCTACAGGTTAGTGACGGACTAGTGGCAACTGACCGGGTTTGTCGAAAGAGTAAGATTGTATCGTGAATCATTGTATTAACCAGCTAACTTACAACCCACCTGTTGAGTGGTGATACTGGTGAACGTTTATGAGCGAGTTCGCGGATATGCTAAACGTGTCTGAGGGGTCACAACTTTTTTGCCGCTGCTTGCCCAAGAAAAAGTTTGCCGTTATAATAATCAAATGTTATATTTTTGGGTTTAGACACCAAATTACAAAATTTGTATCAAGGCCTTCAGGGATATTTTATTTATGACATGGAATTATCTCGTTTACAAATTTTATTCTTCGGAAATGAAATTATAATATTAGCACCCACTATTAATAAAGCTTTTATCGTCACATGCATGGTTAATGCTGTGTCTATCTGTTTAACAATTATTTTCAAGGGTCACAAGGATTTCTATTGAGTTTTCGATGGTCACAATGATTATTGATTAGGGTCGGCTGCATTCTTTATTGTATATATCTGTAAAGTCGGCCGTATTCTTTGTCTTGATCATTGCTGATGAAGTTTTGCTTATCTCAATCATTACTAATAAAGTTTTCGGTTGCCACAACAAAATTTGTTTGGTTAAGTTGAATGATTTTCTCGCCTGAAATTATCACGTCATGATATAATTCAATAGTTTTCGAATGCAATGATCAATGATTCCATGTGTATTAATCACCCGTAAGTATTTTGTATCAATTATTATAAAAAATTCATGTTAATAGAGAAGAAGACGCCGTCGATTTACCACAGTTGATCGGCCTAGAATTATTGTTTGGGTTTTGTGTTGAATATAGAAGTTTTAATGATGATGAAGCCGTTCGGTTAACTTATTGTTCCTGAACGAAAAATTCTAAAATATTTTGAAAAAAATATAGAATATTTTGTAACAGATAAATTGTAAGTAAAAGACGTTATCCATAGTTGTATTGATCAGTTTAAATATAAATATATATTAGTCATAACTGTTCGGCTATTTACTTGTAATTTGAGTGTTTTAATCTATAATTTCTGGAAATACTGTTAAAATTACACTGCTCCAAAATTGCAAAGGAAATGCATCTATTTAATTACTTAAGAGCAGGATTCAGCTCCAAGATATCTATATTTTATGTCTTTTATGAGCAATTCAAGCACAAGCATGTTGTTATGTCGTTTAACATGAATGTTAAACAACATAACAACAGACAATCGTCACGACAGGAACATCGCGTGTTAGAAGAATTTTTTTAAGAGCTACGCGCAGTTGCTTACATTGATGCAACATTGATATGTAGTATACGTATATGTTTAGACCCCAAATGCAGTTTGCAGCGATCAATTTGTTTTGCAATCTATCGTATTAGCGCATAATTTTAGCAATGAGTAAATAATGCACGTCTAATAAAATTACACGCGAAGAATGGGTAAAATGCAATCTCGTGTTCATGTGTTAGTATAATCATTATGCCAGTGAATTAGTTTCTATTGTTTATAAACGCAAAATGATACTAAATCCAGGACAAACATGCACTGTGATACCACGTTTAATTTTGCTTAAATAGATAGCGGGATGGCAGGAATATACTCAAATACGAGCTGTTGTTGTGAACTTCAATAGAAGCTATACGAATATCAGCATCAGTGTGTGACATTTAATTACGGCGCGAGGGGACCTGTGTAGTGTGTAGGCAAGTCTTGCCTCATTTAAGGGGACCTGTGTAGTGTGTAGGCAAGTCTTGCTTCATTTAAGGGGACCTGTGTAGTGTGTAGGCAAGCCTTGCCTCATTTAAGGGACCTGTGTAGTGTGTAGGCAAGCCTTGCTTCATTTAAGGGGACCTGTGTAGTGTGTAGGCAAACCTTGCCTCATTTAAGGGGACCTGTATAGTGTGTAGGCAAGTATTGCTTCATTTAAGGGTCACTTGCATTGGCCGTTCTTAATTGTCATAAAGATATTTCCTCGTTATATTGAGATTGCGTAAATGCAATTTAAATCTGAAAAGTTCATTTAAATTAACTGTTAATTTTGCACTGTTAGCTCATAATTATTAAACTTTATAATTGCACTGTTGGTTCACTTTATTAAACTGAAAAATTTTCCAGGACGTCAGTGGTTTTGGGGCGAAATTTTAAAAATTACTTTGTTGGGTGGCCATTCGCTGGTCTATGAATTAAAATTTCTCAAATTTGCTCCTTGCGTATTCCTACAAAATCAGGCATTTGTGATTTAAAGGCCTGGAAATCTGCCAATAAATGAGGGTGAGCGAGCAAGTGCACAGGCGGTGAGGCTGGATGTCTGAGTAGAGGCCACCAGCACAGGCGGTGAGGCTGGATGTCTGAGGGGAGGCCACCAGCACAGGTGGTGAGGCTGGATGTCTGAGGGGAGGCCACCAGCACAGGCGGAGAGGCTGGATGTCGAAGGGAGGCCACCAGCACAGGCGGTGAGGCTGGATGTCTGAAGGGAGGCCACCAGCACAGGCGGTGAGGCTGGATGTCTGAGGGGAGGCTGAATGTCTGCGAGGCTGAGATGCTGAGGCGGTGAGGCTGGATGTGTGCGAGGCTGAGTGAGGCTGGGCGCCGGAAGAGCGTCCGCTGAGCGACGCTTGTCTTAGTTACCTGCGATAATTTCTGCTCAGCCTCCGTGCATGGGAGAGCTGCATGCATTCCTAAATATATTATATTTTAAACACGCTTTCTTCTATTCAATATAATTCTTCTTCTTAATGTTAGGTCATTATATCTTAGTGTCCTTATACTTTAAAATTGAATGTTTCAAAATGTTGAATATTTAAATCCTTTTAAAATTGAAAGTTTAATCCTCATATGATTGAACATTCAATTAGTAAA